GTTTTTGAGATAGGGTTTCTCTGTGGCTTTGGAGGCTGTCCTGGAACTAGCTCTTGTAGACCAGGCTGGTCTTGAACTCACAGAGATCTGCCTCCCGAGTGCTGGGATTAAAGGCATGCGCCACCAACGCCCGGCTTAGAACTTGGTTTTTAAAGATTTTAATTTCTGTTTGCTTCATTCTTTCAATTCTCTCTCTGATGATTTCCCTCAATTTTTGTTGTTTTTGTTTTTGGACAAGGTCTTATGTAGCCCAGGCTGGACTGGAACTGGCTATGTAGCTGAAGATAACTTTGAAATAACTTTGATCTTCCTGCCTCTGCCTCTGAGTGCCTGTATGCCACTACACCTGGCTAGGACACCCCCAGTCACTGTCTACACAGGCTTACCTCAGTGTCACCATGGAGAGTCCGCACTTAGGTGGCTGAGGCAGGAGGATCATTGCAAGTTCTAACCCAACCTGAGCTACATAGTGAGACCCTGATTGAACAAAGGAACAAAGTAGTCCATACTGGCCAAGCATGGTAATGCAGATTTGTGATCCCAGCACCCCGGAGGCTGGAACAGGATTGCTATGTGCTCAAAAATATACTGGGCTGTGGGCTATCCTCCCTGCCCATAGAGGATGAGGCATGAGAACTGACCAGGAATCCAAGGTCACGCTTGGATACATATTGAGTTTGAGACTAGCCTGGGCTACATGAGACTCAAACAGAAAAACAAACAAAAGAAAAATGATGTTAACACTCTGGCCACATGAGGTGGAGAACAGGATATCTTATTGCTAAGATGGGGAAACTGAGGCACAGAGAGGTTAAACCACTGCTCAGGGTCACTTCGGGCTTGGAGGGATGTGGGAGATCCCCTGGCTGTAGCCACATAGAGCTATGTGTCCCTGGCAGGCCCTGTGGGATCCCAGCACTGGCCCAGAGGCCTCTCCCTGCCTTCAGATGGAACACTTGGCAAATGGTTCTGGGCACACTGGTTCCTTCCAACTCAAGGTCAAGCACAGGTCACTGCAGGCCTCTAGTTACCCACCGGTGCTGTGAAAAGTGATCCCGGGTGGTTGAGGGCAGCTGGGAAGGTGACCAGGGAGAACAAATGGCTTTTGCTCCTGAGTGAGATCAGATTTGCTGGCTGGCGCCACAGTAGACTGGGCGGGACCTGGCAGCCCCGAAGCAGCAGCAAGGTTCTGGACCATCCCCGGAATCCTGTGTCCAGGCTTAGTGACACCCCTCTGAATGTCCTCATTGACAGACTTCAGGGCTTAGCCAGGCTCCTCTGAGATCCTCCTGACCCAGCCTTGACTTGCCTGTGCTGGCTCTGACGTCGCCAAGTCCCCAGGTGCTTAAACCCATGTCCGAGCAGTCTTCTCTGGTGGACACCCCACAACAAAAGGGACTCTGTCTATATAGCTATGGGGGCCCCCACACCCCTGTAACCACACAAGACGATGAACTGGCCTTGCCAGAATGGTTTGTCGTTGGTGTCCTAGCTGAGGGAGATAATCCTTCAGATACCTGCTGTAACTCAGGGTCATAGTCCTGCCTTAGCCTAAGTGGGGCATCACAGTACCCACTTTCATGCAATATCTGCTATCTGGGTTTAGCTGAAGCAGTGAGTGCTGAAGGAGAAATGTATTAGTAGCCCAAACCTCCTGGAAGAGCTGGGACTTCCCTGATGCGTTGAGACGAGCTGGCACAGTCCCTCCTGTGAGAACACATCCTCTGTGCTTTCCCATTTAGACTTCTTTCTTTCTTTCTTTTTGGTTTTTCGAGACAGGGTTTCTCTGTGAAGCTTTGGAGCCTATCCTGGCACTCCCTCTGGAGACCAGGCTGGCCTCAAACTCAGAGATCCTCCTGTCTCTGCCTCCTGAGTCCTGGGATTAAAGGTGTGTGCCACCAACGCCCTGCTTTTTCTTTATTTTTTAGATTATTTTATTTTAATGGTTTGTTGCACAGGCTGGCCCACAGTGTCAAGAATGGCACTGCACTCGTGATCCTCCTGCCTCTATCTCTCAAGAGCACCCCCCCCACCCAGCCTACTCTCTGCTATACTCCACCCACTGAGCAGCTGGCTCCACAGAGTTGCTGTTGCTGACCCCAGGTGTCCTGCAGAAACTCTGAAGCTCTAAGCCCAAGGACACTTAAGTGTGTTTCTCCTATGTCAGACAAAACCTGAGGGTTTGTTTCCAAAGGTGAGGAACAGGTCTGGCTACAAACACTACAAAACACCAGGGCTATTTCCTGTTACCCCCAAGTTGAGACAAACATGAACCTGAGGTAAAGCCTCAGGTTCATGTCTGTTAACTCTAAAATGAACAGGGTGTGACAGAGATTCAGCAAGCATGGTCTTTGTCCAGAAAAAGAGGACCTCGGGCAGAGGAGAGGGGCTAAGGAGAGGGCCAGCTCAGCTATTAGGAGCACTTACTAGCACTCAAGGCCACTGGTGCAGCGCTGCCCTAACTGCAGCTCCAGAGGTCTGTTGCCTCCTTCTGGCCTCCAAGGGCTCTGGGATGCACATGCACACACACAAACATATACACAAAAAATTTAATTCAAATAAACATCTACATGACATGTAAGAAAGGGTGCACTGTCCTAGCTGGGCGTTGGTGGCGCAAGCTTTTAATCCCAGCACTCGGGAGGCAGGGGGAGGAGGAGAGATGAGTTGTATCCCAGCCTGGTCTAAAAGAGCGAGTGCAAGGACAGCCTCCAAAGCCACAGAGAAACAGTCTCGGGGAACAAAATAAAGGAGGGGGCACTGTCCTGAGCCCTCCGTGTAGGGGTGCGATGTCTGCACATCTGCCTGTTGTCTTAACTTTGGGACAGTGGCTGTACCTTAATCTATTTAATGTACTTAACCTACTGCTATTTCAACCAGCAATTGTGACTCCGAAGTTACTGACCTGCTTTTCTGAGTAGCACCTAACTGGTCTTCTCTGCTTGCTGGCATTTCCCAAAGAGAGCATCCTTCCGCTCAGCCGAACAGTGAAAGCCGTGCCACTCCAACTCCCTCTCTACTCCTTCCGGTGTGGCTATCTCTTCCGGTGCCATCTGGCGTTCTATGATTACTCTCTGTCAACTAGCTGCTAACTCAGCCTCCTTACCCAAAGCTAATTTATTTAAGTCAATGCAAATTTGGAGTTCACAGTGTGATCAAATATCCCAAAACACCTGCCACTCTAGGCTCACAGCCCGCTTGGCAAGGAGGTAAAGTACACAGCTTGCTTGGTTAAGCACTGTCAGTCTTCAGGGCTCTTATTATGAAGTGAGGGTTGTTGTTTCCGTGGGAAAACTCCAAATGTGAATTAAAATATCTCTAAAGGGGGCTGGTGACATGGCTCATCAAGGAAAGGTGCTTGCAGCCAAGCCTGACAACCTGAGCTCAAACCCCAGGGCCCACATGGTGGAAGGTGTTGTGTGACCCTACCTGAGGAGCTGTGAGCCAACACCTACTAACCCCAGATGGGGACTAACCACAGACCAAAGCACCAATACCAACTTGGTGAAACACTGAGTTTTATTTGGGTCACCTACAGAAGCAGAAATGACTCACAGACAGCTGCATCACCAAAGCCCACACCCCCAGCGTGGTGACAGCTCACAAAGGCTGGAGCCTGGAGTATACTGCACAGCCTGCAGGCAGCCTAATAGTTGTGAGGTCTGTGTCCTTTCTAGGTTTCTCAGCTTCTCCAAGCTACTCTCAGCAGTCCATCATTATTGCTCATATTCACTCAGGGAGGGGGAGGCCTAGTGTACCTGGTCAGTTTTAGGGACTTCCTGAGGTGACTGAGTTGTGTCCTTCCTCAGCTGAGGGAGTTTCACTGTGGGGTAGAGGCATGCCTCAGAGACAGCCACACAACAGGAGGGAACCCGCTCCTGCAAACTGTCCTCTGAAAGCCACATACTCTGGAAACCCTCTTAAAAATATTAAGTTTGGCTCAGTGGTTAAGAGCACTGGCTGCTCTTCCAGAGGACCCAGGTTCAGTTCCCAGCACCCACATGGCAGCTCATGACTGTGACTACAGTTCCAGGGGATCTGACACCCTCACGTAGATATACATACAGGCAAAACACCAATGCACATAAAATTTAAAAATTAAAGTTTATGGTCATCCTAGCTGGGCTGCACAAAACCAATGTCCAGAAAAATCCAAAATTAAAAACAAATAACTAGGGGCTGGAGAGATGGCCCAGAGGTTAAGAGCACCGACTGTTCTTCCAGAGGTCCTGAGTTCAATTCCCAGCAACCACATGGTGGCTCACAACCATCTGTTATGAGATCTGGTGCCCTCTTCTGGTGTGCAGATATACACAGAAGCAGAATGTTGTATACATAATAAATTAAAAAAAAAAAAACCCCAAATAACTAAGGCTGAGGTTGCATCTCAGTTGGAAGAGTGCACAACTGGCAAGCACAAGACCCTGGCTTCCATGCCGAGCCAAGCACTACAAAATTCGGGTGTTGGATAGCCTGGGCTGCATGAGACCCTGTCTTATAAATAACAAAGAAGGCCTTACAGAGGACTTGAGTTCAGATTCCAACACCCATGTCAGAGCTCACAACCACCTGTGGCTCCAGCTTCTGGCCTCCAAAAGCACCTGCATACACACACACACACACACACACACACACACACACACAGTTAAAATAAAAATAAATCTTAAAAGGTAACAAAAGACTTCACACCACAGTGGGTACCAGGAAGTGTTTAGTGCGGCTAATCGTAGCCTCCACACACAAGACTGACAAGTGAAGGGAAGGTACCGCCCAGGCCACCGCTGCACCGCCAGGCCAGGAAAGAGACCCTGTCTCCAAGGAGCTGGGCATCAGTCAGTAATGCTGGGAGGCAGGTGGTGGTCAGGGGGCACCTGAGGCAGAGACTATGAGACGCTGGGGGGCAGGCGTGCAGCTGCTGTCTTTTCCACCACGAAGCCATAGTTATACTGGGGAGTGGAGAGAGGGGGCTGAGGAGGCGCTGGGGACTGGAGGGGTGCACTGGAAATGACTGAGGAGTGGGGGCAGACTAGGGGAACTGGGGGCCCTGGGGAAGATGTGGGGCCTGAGGACACGAGGTGGGGCCCCAGCCCTTCATGCGTTCCTACACCTACCTCCTTCTCAATGTCTGCCAGCGACTTAATGGTCAGGTCCCCAAAGGCAGACAAGTTCTAGAGGACAGAAGTGAGAGTGTGAGACCACAGTCCCACTAAACACACACATTCACCAAGGCCTATGAGGTTCAAGGATAACTTCCAGGAGGTGTTCTCTCCTGTTACGTGCGACCCAGCAACTGAATTAAGGTTAAGGCTTGGTGGCAAGTGCCTTTACCAGCTGAGCTGTCTCTCCATGCATGGCCCTAGCTTCTCAGATGGTGTCTCATGTAGCCCAAGCTGGCCTCCTGCCTCCACCTCCTGAGGACTGGGATGACAGGTGAGCACCACCACACATGGCCCTAATTCTCCCATCTTTCAGGACTGGCTCTGAAAACACTAGCCTGAGTCTCACCCCACTCCCCACACCCCTATTCTGGGATCCCTTGATCTCTATCCTCTATCCCTCACCCATTCAGGTCATGTTCACTGTGCTGGGTCACATGGCAACAAGAATGTCATGAACCCCTTGAACAGCGGCCAACTAGAGTGCCCAAATCCCAGGGACATTGACTCACCAGAGGCCCACAGCTCTTGCCCTCAAAACGGGGGTGCAGTGTAAAGGGAACCCCATCCATGGCTGCAATGAAAATTCCCAGGGAGGCTGAGGAGGAAGACCCCAGTACACCCTGCCGCCCCCAGGTGACCCTCCCCACCCAGGGAGCACAGGCTAATTCCCATCTTCATTAGAGCGGCTGTAACTACTGCTTTTGGGCCCCATGCACCCCTGGAACTCACCTGTGAACAATACACCCAATAAACCCACTAGGTCCCTAAATTGGACTCTGGCAGCACTGTACCATCTGGTGAAATTTGTTAATGTCATCGCAGGAAGAGGGTCACACAACACACCCTGGATTGTGCCCTGAGCACCCACAGAGTGTGAGGTCCCAGTCTTCCCACCTCCTACCATCAAGGGGGCAAAAATACAGTTTGTGGGCTGGAGTCAGGCAGCGGGTAAGAGCCCACATTCAGTTCCCACTACCTACATGGCAGCTCACAACCCTTTTTAATTGCAGTTACAGGGCATCTGTCCCCCTCTTCTGCCCCTCCCAGAGCAATGTACACACATGGTGTACAGGCACACATGCAGGCAAAACAGGTACACACAAAAAAAATAAAAATAAGTCTTTTTTTGTTGTTGTTGTTGTTTGTTTTTGAGACAGGGTTTCTCTGTGGCTTTGGAGCCTGTCCTGGAATTTGCTCCGAAGACCAGGCTGGTCTCGAATTCTCAGAGATTCGCCTGCCTCTGCCTCCCGAGTGCTGGGATTAAAGGCCTGTGCCACCAACGCCCAACTAAAAATAAATCTTAAAAATAAAAAGTTTGGTGGGAGGGCCAGGGAGAGGCCACATACCCCCTGTGGCTTCCCAGGGCACAATCTTGGGAGAACCATAGCTCCCACCCAGGCTGCAGCCTCCACTCTGTACCCACCTGAGATACCATAGAGACTGGATGCTTCATAGATGGAGTCATTCCTCCGCAGAGTGGATGCTCGAGAGCCTATCCTAGACAGTGTCCGCTCAGGGTGGCTGCCTTTGCTGGGGAGCAAGGGACGGTGACTTCAGTCAGGCTGGAAGTCTTCCTCTTGGCCCATCTGCCCACCTGGGTACCTGAGCCTTACCTGGGCTGTGTGGGTGGATCCAGTGAGAGGCCCCGCATATCCTGGCTGACAGTGCGGGGCTTGGGCACTGGTCTTGGGGCCTTGGATTTCTTGCACCAGATGGCAAAACCACCCATGTCCCTGGAGCGAGGGGATGGGGGAGGGAAGGGAACCAATGCTCTGCAAAGCTGGGGCATCTCTGTGTGACCACCATTTGGGGTATTTTTCTCTTGGCAGCTCTACCTCATCCCAACCAGCATCCTGACTGGAGGTCCCATGAGATCCCCATCCCCACATGCAGAGATGAGAAAGAGAGTTAAATCTGGAGGTGAAACAGAGGGACAGGAGCTCAAGGAAGGGGGTGTTCTACTCTACCCCACACGCAGGTATCCAGGCACTGTCTTGGTCTTCCCACTCAGTTTCACGTCACACACAACCATGTCGGCAGCCCCCAGGGGCATCAGCTTCACACACATGCGCTTCTTCTTGGACACAGAGGCCTCTGGGAGTGGGGGTAGGGGAGTGAGAGAGGGGGGCAGGGCAGGGAGGGGAGCACCCAGAGATGCTCACCAGTAGTGTTTAGGGACAGCACCGGGGAGCTGGTTAAATCATAAATTGTATAATCACAGCAAGGACTGAACTAACTTTTGGAATCACCAAAACAGGTTGCCCTTTGCTGAATATTTATGGGGTGGCTGTGGGATCAACAGAGGAACATCTATTTTGGCACCCCAACCTCACTTTTCCTGGTCCTATAACAGGGGAGGGGGGAGGGGGTCACAAAACTTCTCTTAAAAAATCCAGTCCAAGGCTGTTGTGTGTGCTTCATGGGGTCAGGAAGGCTATTTCATATTATATGTATGTATTTGTGTATGAGATAGTCTCATGTAGCCCAGGCTAGCCTCAAAATCACTTTGTAGCTGAGGATGGCCTCCTGAGCGCTGGATGGCACGCCCATTAATCGAGAACTCTACCAGCTGAGCTATTGTACCTGCCTTGACTTTTGTGACAAGCTCTCACTCTGTAGTCTATGCTGCCCTGGAATTCACCACGTAGCCCAAAGTGGCTCTGAATTGGAAGCAATCCTCCTGCCTCAGCCTCTCAAGTGCTGGGATAAAGAGCAGCAGCCCCTCACCCAGCTGGTTAAGACAGTTGCAAGGGGCTGGGCCTGATGGTTCATGCCCTGTGACTCCCTGAATGAGAGGACAGAAGTTCCAGGGCAGCTGGGATCCTCCCCCCCCCAAAAAAAACCAATTAAACATGTAAGCCCAGAAACAGCAGCCAAAGGAGGGTAGGAGAATGTGCGGAAGCCCCGTCTGCACACTGACCTGACCCTCTGCAGAGCAGCCCGCCAGCTTGAGTCACTACAGACACCTGGAGAACCAAGCACCAGTGAGGAGGTAGGCAGCTGGGTGGGGCAGGGGAGTGGGGGAAGGGGAGGCTGAGCTATCCAGAGAGCAGGGAAAGACAGTTCCAGGAGGACTTGATCTGCAAGAGCCTGGAAAGGAAAAGAGCATGGCGAGGAGGCGCCACAGAAGCAGAGGGAAGCAGTAGTGACCAGTGTCAGTCAGTGAGCGGGTGGGTGTGCCAAAAACATTTGGGGTTGTTGTTTGTTTATTTTGGGACAGGGTTGTTACAGGCTGGTACAGGTGAGCCCCACTATGCTCAACGTCTCAGGGGAAGCTGAGACTAATTTACAGCCATCTTCTGCTTCAGCCTGAGTGCTACTATGACAGGTGTGTGCATGTCAACTATTTAATTTGGGGGTAGTGGGTGAGACAAGGCCTCCCTCTGTAGTCCAGGCTGGACTTCAACTCCCCACCATCCTCCTGCCTCAGCTTGCCAAGCTCTACATTGGTAGGTTGTGCCTCTCTGCCCAGCTAGGTCATATTCTGACCAGACAGCTGCTCCCTGTGACTGTCGCTCTCCCAAGGGCCCACGGATCTTACTGGAGTCTAGAGGGTCGTTCACTGTAGAGAAGCCGGATGGCGGGGGGCCCTTGTCCATCACGATCTGCATGTCTACTACCACATTGTCCTGAGGGTTCTGGGAGTAGGAGAGGGAGCAGGTGGAGGAGGGAGCACCGCAGGGAGGGGAGCAGGGAGGATGGAGGCAGGGAAGGGCGGCGGGTGTCAGCGGGTAGGGTCAGGGAGAGTCGGGAAAGGTTCGGGAATCAGGCTTTCGGATGCTCGTGCTCACCCTCAGGCTGCCCAGCGGGCTCAGACACAGAAAGTAGCCGGCTTTCTGAGCGAAACCGCGGCCGAAGCTGGCGGTCGCGCCCTCCACGGTGCAGGTGATCTGCGGGTCGCAGGGGTCAGCGGGGCTCCGTCCCCTCCCTGCCCCGCCGCCCTTGCCCTTGCCCGCCCCCGCTCACCGCGCTGAAACCCGGGGGCGGCGGTGTTAAGGCTGACGACCAGACCAGGCCCGCCAGCGGCTCCACGTCCGCCCCGGAATCCATCCTCCCGGGGAGCTCAGAAGGTACTAACGCCCTTGGACGGCCCGGAACCTCGGACTACAACTCCCAGAAAACCTTGCGAACGTGCTCGCAAAGTAGCTAGTGCGCATGCACAGATACTGCAGACCAGTCAGATATAGCCGTGGAGCCACACCCTCTGGGAATATCCTTGAGCGACGTTTGCGGAAAAAGGATTAGAACTTCCGCCCTTAGTTACCAGTCAAGGCGATGACGGGGCGGGTCAGCTCCCTGTGGGGACTACACTCCCCAGAATGCCATGCGACATCACCTATCGACCCCTTCTGCCCTTGCAGAGATGCGGGTCTAGAGGGGCCAGGTAGCACTCACCTGTCATTGCAACAGCTCCAAGAGGCGGGTGCTGAGTGGTGAAGTGACCCCGACATCTACGCTCATTTAACTCAGCCAATGAAACTGCAAGAGTCCTTTAATAATGGCCAGATCAAGAGTAGCCGAAGCAGCCGGCGGTGGTGTCGCATGCCTTTATTTAATCCCAGCACTCGGGAGGCAGAGGCAGGCGGATCTCTGTGAGTTCCAGACCAGCCTGGTCTACAGAGCGAGTTCCGGGACAGCCTCCAAAGCCACAGAGAAACCCGGTCTCAAAAACCAAAAAAAAAAAAAAAGAATGAAAGAGTAGCCGAAGCTCAGGAGTACAGCATTTTGAATCAGTGTAGGGGAGGGGAGTAATCTGTCTTTTTTACACATTTTAGCAGTATTTTCCAGACATAAGACAATCATTTTTGATTTACACCTTCTCTAGTTATTTTAGTTTTATGTTTTAGCTTGCAAAACAATATTTTGGTTAATACATCTGGACCATCTTCAGGGTCAAGAACAGCCCCGCAAAGTGTTGCCAAGGCAGGTGTGGCTGTTAGCGGGTGAGACAGAATCAAAACAAGATGGTGTTAGTCACTTCAATGTTCACGAGTTCGAGGTCCTGGGCTATATGAAACCCTGCTTTAAATTAGAAACAAAAAAATTAAAATATTGGCGAAAAATAAACTAAAAAAGAAAAAAATAGAAGAGAAAGGAGAAGTTTGTACACTTTCAGTTCTAGGACATTTGACAACTGAAATCATTGTGGCTGTGCAGCTGTTGACTTAAATAACGGATAAGATGGACTTGAAGGTCTGTTCACAGGCAAAGTAAGTTTTTTGTTGTTGTGGTGGTAGTGGTTAATTTTTGTTTGTTTTGTTTTGAGGCAGGGTCTCTCTAGGTAGCCAGAGTAAGTTCTAGTAAGTCCTAGAACTTACTCTGTAGACCAGGTTGGCCTTGAACTCATAGAGATCCGCCTGCCTCTACATTCTGAATGCTGAGATTCAAAGTGTGTGCCACCACTGCCTGACTAAATTTTATGGTTCTTATAGAGCAAGGGATCATCTTTCTATGGGGCTGCAGATGGAATGCAGAGTCTCACACATACTAGGCAAGCATTCTACCTCCAGGCTGACCCTGACCCTGGTGTATATTTTCATTTATGTATTTGTTACATTTGAAAAAGTTATTTTGCTTATTTTGGGGATGGAGATATGCTCAGTGGTAAGGAGCACTGGCTGCTCTTGCAGAGGACCCAGTTTCAATTCCCAGTGCCTGCATGGAGGTTCACAACCATCTGTAACTCTAGTTCCAGGTGATACAACACCCTTTTCCGGCCTTCATAGGTACTAGGCATGCATGTAGTACACAGACATATAGGCAAAATATTCATACATATAAATTAAAATAAATTAAAAAAATTAAAGTATCTTGTATGTATGCACACAGCACAGTACATGTGTGACTGGAAACACACCCTGAATAGAGCCAAAGGGACACACTTTGGCCCTGCAACCAGCACCAAAGAAATGCACCCTGACCCTGAAACCAGTGCCAAAGAAACACACTTTGTCCCTGAAATCACAGCCAGTGAAAGAAATACACTCTGAAAGACTTAAAAATTAGCAAAGAAATATAGCCCAGATAAGGAAATTCTCCCAACAGAATGTAGGGCGCCTAACCCAGAAACTGACTAAGGCCACTACTATGACTTAGGGCCTGGAATTTACCAGCTGCCAGCAATTACTCCCTTACAAGGCCATAAGAAAACTGGGTACCAAGAATTCCCAGATGGCCACCCTCCCCGAGGGGCTCATGAAGGAAACAGATTGCCCCACCGGCCAATGTGTCAATAATTAACAATTAAGGGTCCCTATGAAACAAAGAGATAGCTACCATTAGTTAGCACACCCTGAGGTCTGCAGGTTTTACAACTGGTGAGTCAGGAAGCCATCTAATTCCCAGCCCTCCCCTCAAGACAAAGGGCCTCCTAGGAACCCATGACTCTGGACAGAAAGGTACTCAACGGACAGAGAGTCGTGGCCCCTCCCTAAGCTTATGGTTTTTGCCTTTAAAAACACCTGTGCCTGGGGGATGGGGCTGCTCTCTAGCCTGCATGCTGGGAGAGCCCTTTGTACAAACGTCCACCTTTCATTAAAGCCTCTTGCTTTAATGAAAGCAAGAGAACTTGCTTCAAGTTTCTGCCTCCGCATGGTGATTGGGGTGGCTGTGGTCCTGGGAAAAGATCCTGGAGGCCTGAGCTTCCGTGGGTCTTACAACTCTGGCCCTAAAACTAGAGCTAAAAAAGACCAGTGAAAGAAGTACATTTTGGCCTTGACACCAGAGCCAAATCTGACTGTAAACCTGTGCCAAAAACCAACCAATCCCTGAGCAGATCTAGCCATCCTAAATTCAGGGATTGAAATCTGACCAATCTCCACCCTGGACAAACTCTGCCCCCTAATAATCCCTATATAAATCCTGTATTTGTTCAGCTTGTGGTTGTTCCGGCTGCCCGGCTGTCCTCTGCTACCTTGGCAGAGGGCAGTCACTCTCCTGGATTCTTCCCTCCCAATAAATCTCTTGAATAAGGTTTGGGTGAGACCTTCTTTCCCAGGAGCTTAGACAACCCTGGGCGGAGGAGGGATCAGGGCTTTAACACCTTCAATGGGGAAACCTTCCCTTAGCAGAGCCGTTGTGCCCAGATTTTGGAACCCCAAAAGAACCCACAGCCAAGGAGACAACTCACCGAATGCAAGGACAAAGGTTTCTTTATTGACTCGAGGATTCCAGCTGCAGCAAGGACCCCATTCCTTCAGGAACAAATGGAGTACCCACTTTCAACTGAGGGGTGTTTTTATAAGGGAAAATTGTAAGGCTGGAAGCCCCAAGATTACAAAAACGTGTGGTTACACAGGATGGGACAATGATTGTACGCTTCAGGCAAGGTGCAGTTAAGCAGGATGCTGCAGAGGAAATGAGTTTCTTAACTTCTACAATTGATAACCATCTGATCCTCTCTGGACTAGAGGAATATCAACACAGCTTGAAAGACCCCGCCCCCTGGCTGGTTCTCTCTCGGTGACACTCCCACACGCCTGGCGGCTGGCTCCCTCCCAAGCCGGTTCACCCAGGCAGGGGGCCCTCGACCCAGGCCTGCCCGCCCGCCTGGCGCCGCACCCCGGGGCTGGGGCCGAGCGGGGAGAGGACGCCCCCACCCCATGGGGAACCTCCGTCCCAAGGTCAGCCATCTGGACGCGGAGGGGGGAATTGGGTCTGTTGTACCAGGTGCAGACCTTGAGAATATACTGATTCTTACATCCAAAGTTCGTGGTTTCGCTGATTCCTGGGTGTGGGTCTCCTTCTACGAAAGTACCTCTTCTGAGGTCTTTCAAGCTTAAGGGTGTCATATCTGGTCTAAGGCTGTGATTTAGCCTTGTCTGTTGGGCTGCCTTTTGGGAACTCAGAGAAGCTTAAGAGTTTTCCTATTTGGACTTTGGAGTCCGAGTTTTATTAAGTTTTAGACTTTATTAATTTTTCCCTTTCAGAGCACAGTGGAGTTGTTACACTCATCTTTCCCACTGTCCAGGGGAGCAGAGCTAAACTGCAACAACTTCTCTGGGGAAACCCTTTCCTGCCTGAGCAGAGCTGATACACTGGGGAAGCCTTCCCTGGAGCAGGGCTGTAAGCCGCTTTGCTTACTGTGACCTATGTTATTTCTTGGCTCCCAAACTCCAGAGTACCTTTCCATCCCAGCTGTAACACTCAGTATTCTGTGACTCCCAAGTGCCTGAATACCCATCCTATTCATCAAAATGCTTACAGTGACAGCCAGAAGAACACTGTGGCAGCTCTCGGGAGGCAGAAGTAGGCGGATCTCTGTAAGTTTGAGACCAGCCTGGTCTACAGAGCGAGTTCCTCCAGAACAGCCTCCAAAACAATACAGGGAAACCCTGTCTCAAAAAACAAAACAAACAAACAAACAAACAAATCACCATAGGAATTACTTCTCTCCCTCCACCTTGTAGGTTCTGGGGATGGAACCCGGGTTGTCAGTTTTAGTGGCTGTTGTGGGGTGTCCACCAGAGAACACTGCTCAGACATGGGTTTAAGTCAATAGATAATAATAATTCTTTATTAGCCAGCCAGCCGGAGACTGCATTGGGTGTTTGGGATCCCAGTGTAGACCCAAGTCATTCTCAGGGTGAGCTTTTAAGCACAAAAACCATGTCCTGGGCTGGCTTACTTCGGTTAACAAGAACAGTTAGCCAGAGGCAGGACTACAGATGCCAAAAAGCAAGGCCAGTTATTTAGAGACTTTCCCAATGTAAGTGTTACAGTGAAAGACCCCCACCCCCGGGCTGTAGCCTTTCTACTCTGGTCGGCAGCTGGCGGGGCGCGCGAATACATCTTTCCCTCCTTAGCACTTCCCTCCTTAGCACTTCCCTCCTTAGCACCTTTTGATCTCTGCAGCTGCTGGCTCTCACTCCCCGCCCCACGCAAGGCCAACCCCCGCCGGATCGCTCGGTCCCAAGGCCAGCCATCTGGACCGGCAGGAGATAAGGCCATTTCGCCTGGCTATTAAACCTTGAGAAAATGCTGATTTGATGCTTTTCGCTTCTGTACTATGCCTGTTTTCCCTTATAAAAGGACCCTCCTTCCGGGGCTCGGGGCTTGGCAAAACAGAAGCTAAGCCCCGGATATCCGTGTTATTAATAAATCCTCTTGTTCTTACATCCAAAGTTCG